GGACAATCTATAGAAACGTAGTACGTCGTCCAAGGCGCCTCGGAAGGCGCCTCGGAAAGCGCAGAATACTCCTCCAAGGCGCGGAATCATGTTCCCGGACCGCCTTCCGGGAACATGACGGGGACGACCTTCTGAGGGCCTCCAGTGGGCCTCTTGGGGGCCTCTCGGAGGCCTGTATATATACATTATATATAATGTATATATATATATATACACATTATATATATAGACCCACACGTAAGACATGTAGGACTGTGTACACAGGAGAAGGACAATCTATATAAACATAGGTACGTCGTCCAAGGCGCCTCGGAAGGCGCCTCGGAAAGCGCAGAATACTCCTCCAAGGCGCGGAATCATGTTCCCGGACCGCCTTCCGGGAACATGATGGGGACGACCTTCTGAGGGCCTCCAGTGGGCCTCTTGGGGCCTCTCGGAGGCCTGTTGGGCTCTCCTGGAGGCGTCTTGGGGCGCGCTCAGGGCCATTGTTGGGCATCTTGGGGGCCTCTATATATGGGGAAGAAATTGAAATACGTGGAAGGAAGTGGCACGACTCGGGAGGGCTTGGGGGAGGGGTATATGTATATATATATATATATATATATATATATATATTATGTGTGTGTGTGTGTGTGTTTGTGTATACGTGTGTGCGTATATATATATATATATATATATACATAGACCCATACGTAAGACATGTAGGATTGTGTACACAGAAGAAGGACAATCTATAGAAACGTAGTACGTCGTCCAAGGCGCCTCGGAAAGCGCAGAATACTCCTCCAAGGCGCGGAATCATGTTCCCGGACCGCCTTCCGGGAACATGACGGGGACAACCTTCTGAGGGCCTCCAGTGGGCCTCTTGGGGGCCTCTCGGAGGCCTATGGGGCTCTCCTGGAGGTGTCTTGGGCCATTTTTGGGCCTCTTGGGGGCTTCTGGGGGCCTTCGGGGACGCTATTGGGGGCCTCTTTGGGGCCTCTTGGGGCCTCGCGGGGCCCTCTTTGGGACCGCTGGGCTCGCTTAGGCAATCTTGAAGCCCTGTCGGGGCACTCCTGGAACCGTCTTGGGCGGCTCCTGGGCCATCTTGGGGCTCTCCTGGGCCGTCTTGGGACGATTTTGGGGGTCTCTTGGGCCGTCTTGGGGCGGTCTTGGGGGCCTCTTCGGCAGTCTTGAAGCGGTTTTGGGAGACTCTTGGGCGGCCTTGGAGCGTCGGAACCCCGAAACAGCGAGAAGGCCAAAAACCTCGAACAAAAACTATACAAATCAACGATTTTGGCTTGTCGGGGCTCTCTTGGGATGCCTTCGGGGCCTCATGGAGCTCTCTTGGAACGTCTTCGGGCCTTCCTGGCCATTCCTGAGGCTATCTATGCGCGTCTTGGAGCGCTCGCGGGCCGTCTTGGGCGGTCTCGAACTGTTCCTGGCGGTCCCAGGGGCCCTCCGGGATGCTTCGGACGCTCCCGGGGGCGCCCTGCACACCCCATGGAGATGACAGGCACCGCCCCGGGGCCCTACTCCGATATATATATATATATATATATATATATATATATGTATATATATATATACATATATTATATATATATATATACATGTGTATGTATATATTCATTTACATATATATATATATACATGTATATATATGTAAATATACATATATCTCGTCCCAGGCATGCGACATCTTAATGTGTTCAACGCGATGTCCAAGAACGTCCCGACCCGTTCCCCAGGGCCGTTTTCTCTTCGCGAGTTGATTTCTTTAAGAACCCAGGGCCCAGCGAGGGCCCCTGGAGGCTCATTTGCTCACGACTTTGAGGCGGGGGGACTTCTCCACGACCATCGCCCGGGGGATCGATCCTCGGGGACATCGGCAAGCGGCGGATGTGGACGCGGTCGGGCCCCCCTGGGGCCCCCCTGGGGCCCCTGGGGCCCCCCTGGGACGCATCCCGCCCGCTGGGTCCCAGAAGTCAGCCACCACCGGGCGGTAAACATGGATCACATCCATCCCCGCCTCGCAAAGACGCCCACCCAATCGACGCGGCGTGTGCGCTGACGCCCCTCCCCAGCGACACAGCCCTTGGGAGGGGGAGGTTGAGGAGGAGGGAGGACGACAAGGATGACGAGGAGGCTGAGAAAGAGGATAACGACGAGGAGCAGGAGCAGGAGCAGGAGCATGACGAGGAGGAGGAGGAGGACGAGGAGGAGGAGGAGGAGGACGAGGAGGACGAGGGAAACGAGGAGGAGGAGGAGGACGAGAAGGAGGAGGAGGACGAGGAGGTCGAGGAGGAGGAGGAGGAGGAGGAGGAGGAGGAGGAGGAGGAGGGGCCGCGGCGGCGCCCGACGAATCGACGTGGCCTGTGCCTCGACGCCCCTCAGCGGCGCAGCCCTGGGGTGGGCAGCCCGCGGCCGCGTCGCCCCGGGCGACGCCCCCGCGCGCGCGCCACGCCGGGCGAGGGGTCCCCTCGCGGGCTCGCCGAGGGAGCGGAGGAGGGCCAGGAGG